TTTGTATTTTAGTAGAAATGGGGTTTCACCATGTTGGCCAGGATGGTCTTGATCTCTTGACCTTGTGATCCTCCTGCTTGGGCCTCCCAAAGTGCTGGGATTACAGGTGTGAGCCACTGCACCCAGCCAAAAGCCATCTTAATGAAGCACTTAACTATTTATTGGAAATAGTGTGTGTTTAAAGGGAGGAGATGTTTGGGCTGGGAGAAGCTATTGAGGTTGAGAATCTTGACCTGAGTCTTAAACTTTTCAATGCCTGTATATTTTTACATATATTCTCACATATGTACATGTATACATAACTGTTTGTAAGTATATTAAGTATCAGCATACAGTGGTTCTTAACTGGAGCAGCACATTGATATCATGTTGGGATCTTTTAAAAAAATGTTTGCTCATGCTAATTTCTTGCCTTCTTTGTCCCTTTACCGTACCCTCTTTGTCCCTTCACCCCACCCTCTAATAATTGAATGGATCTACAATGGATCCAGGCATTAATTATTATTATTATTTTTTTTGAGATGGAGTCTCGTTCTGTCACCCAGGCTGGAGTACAGTGGTGCGAGCGATCTCGTCTCACTGCAACTTCTGCCTCCCGCGTTGAAGTTGATTGTCCTGCTTCAGCCTCCCAAGTAGCTGGGATTACAGGTGCTTGCCACCACACCTGGCTGATTTTTGTATTGTTGGTAGAGTTGGGGTTTCACCATGTCGGCCAGGCTGGTCTTGAACTCCTGACCTCAGATGATCCGCTTAGTTTGGCCTCCCAAATTGCTGGGGTTTCAGGTGTGAGCCACTGTGCCTGGGAGCATTAATATTTTTATAAATTTCCCATTTGATTCAAATGTGAGTCAGTGTTAAGAACTATTGGGCTACAGTCTGAGCATAGAAATGAATAGGACATAAGCCTTGCCCACAACGTGCTCTCAGGTAATAAAAGGAAATGTGAAAAGCAGAGTAGTAAATATAGCTTAGTGTCTGAGCAGGGTACCTAACCCAGGGAGGAGGAGGGATAGTTGAAGAAAGCTCCCTAGACAGTTATATACTTGTTTTCAGGGTGCTTGTGAAGCTTTTGCCATAAATTGGGTTGTATGAATGGATTAATGGAGATGGTTGCCATAGAAAATATAATCTTTCAACAGGGAGAGGTGGCACTAAAGTTTTGGTTTAAGTTTAAAAGTTAACATATGGTACTTAAAACTTCTGTTTTAAAATAGTGGTTGGATAAAGTGGTTTAGCTTCAGTGGTTGGCTAAAGTACTTTATGTACTATCTTAATGCTCCCAGCAATCTCATGTGGTTGTTACAGTCACTCTGTTTATCCCCATTTCCAGAGGAGAAAGTGGAGACTTAGAGCTTAAATGATTCAAGATCACATAGAAAGTGAGCGACAGAGCAATATTTTGAGTGTTTTTGTGCATTTTGTGTGTACGTATATATCTAGGGAAAGGAAAGTTTTTAAGAATTAGCCTAGCTTTTATTATTCAGCATATTTCCCTAGATTTTTTACGTAACTTTTTACTAAAAATTATCTTAAGTAATTTAAACATCTGAATGAGGAAAACAGTAAAGGTATGGAATTGAGTAGAATTTCAGGTCAAATTCGTGGACTCAGAGATTGCTTCTGACCCTCTAATTTAAATTAGCAAAATTTTGAACACCACACTCTCAGCAAAATGTAAATTTATTTTTGTCTAGTGGTAAGAAAATGTGGATCTTTGATTTTACTTAAGTGATATATTTTTCTATGAAGATGGGATCATAACACCTACTTCATAGTTTGAACTTGGGATGGTAAAAGGGAAGATAAAGGAGCATTAAGCATATAGAAAACACTTTTAAGTGAACATAGGTTAGATCATAATCATTTAATATATTTATTGAACATGATATAGGACAAGTTCCACTTAGTAAACTTTATAAATCCAGGTTGATTAAGAAATGCCTTTTGTTTT